AGACTACTGAGCTTCACACTTGTGCATTCAATTATTCGATTTTGGGAGAATTGCAATTTGTGCAAATTTAGTTTGATTGGCGCTTCAGTCGAATTCCGTATTTCTAAAGTGCCATACAGATGTATAACAGAAAAAACAACTTGCGGGATGTATGAGCATATTTGTTCTCTTCTCCAAAAAAAAAATTAAAAACTGATTGATGGGTTATTGCTAGGGGAACAGCCACTAAATGTTAATTTTATTCACAGAGTAGTGACCGACAAAGGAAAAACAAAAAACATCAGTAGCAGTAAAACAATCTATATTTATATATCATTTTACTGCTCTCCTCTATTTCCATCTTTTGGATACATTTTCTTACTTGATCTATGAACCAAATGGTGGGAAAATGTGCCTATCAGGCAAATGCAAAAGATGGACAGTATAATACTATTAAACTCATAGTACATTATCTCACCTATTTTGTTTGTCTGAATTGTTTTTCGTGAATATTTTTCATGGACCATGTTCAGATGAGCTGAACCATCAACTAAATGAGTGTTGGAAGTCTCAAACTAAATTTCATTTTTTGAAAATATGGTTCAGCAAAACCAATTTTTTCTGTTCCCAAGTCTTTTAGCCCCTTAATGATGGATGACTGACCCAGTCCATCATGGTGGAGAAGTACTTAACGACGGATGATGGACTGGGTCCGTCATGTGCCACAATTTACCCCAGATTGCGGCAAACGTGGGGTTAACGCTCCTCCAGTCTGCCCCAGTATTCAAGGCAGACTGGGAGCACCCAATCTCGCTGTCCCTGCAGCTGTGATCACTCTGACAGGCTGTCAGAGAGAGCACATGTGCTGCAGGGACTCCTGATCTGCCTCCCTGCTCTTCCACATTCTGTGTGAAGTGCAGGGAGATGGATCAGTGCTGATCTTCTCACTATGATCTGATTTTTATTTATTTTTAACCCCTGAAGATAACTTTTATTTTTTTTAACCCTCAGGGGTTCAATTTATTTTATTAATTTAAATATTTTAAAATTATATATAGCTATCTGTGGTGGGTGGAAGTTAGTGGAGAATTGGGGAATTTGGTGTTAGGCTAGCTAGGGGTTAACGTTAAAGTTTTTTAAAAAGCCTTAAAAAGTAAAAGAAATTGTAAAAAATAAATTTTTTTATAATGTTTAAAAAAAGTTTAAAAAAATCCTACCCCCAGTCCTAATAAAATATTAACCCCTTCCCTGCCAGTTGTCATTGCTTACGGTGATCACAGTATAATACTGTGATCTGTATTTTGATCTGATTTTTTAACCCCTTAGGGTTAACTTTTATTGTTTTTTTTTTTTTAACCCCCAGGGGTTCAATTTATTTCATAAATTAGTTTACATATTTTAAAATGATATATTTTGCTAGCTGGGTTGGGTGGGAGTTATGGGAAATTGGGAATTTACTGTTAGTACTGCTTACTGCTAGTTACGGGTTAACGGTAAAAAACGTTTTTTTTAAAGTGTAAAAAAAGTTTTAAGAAAGTTTAAAAAAGTAAAGAAATTAATAAGTTAACAAAAAAGTTTAAAAATAAGTTTTAAAAAGTAAACAAAGTTTAAAAAAGTTAAAATTAAATACATTTAAAAATGCTCATTACCACTACACCTGGAACAAACTAGGGAAAAAATAATCCCACGCTAAGGTTCAAAATATGCCTTTTGAATTGCCCGGGTTGTATTCTTTAATAAATAGTATGTGTTTGTGGGGAAATTTGAATAACTAACCAGCTAAACTACTCTGAAATGAAACATGGACACAGTGTAAAACTTCAAAGTTAGAATGGCTGTGTCTCAAATGTGCCCCCTAAGCATCCACATATACCTGGCAAATGTACATAGGGGGGTATTGTTGTACTCATACGACATAGCTGAGCAACATGTGAAATATTATACAACCATTGCATACATAAGATTTGCAAAATATACTGTGTCAAAAAGGCATAAAAAAATCTTATTACCACTACACTTGGTACAAGCTACCGGAAAATTGATCCCAAGCTAAGGTTCAAAATATGCCTTTTGATATACCCTGGGATGTCTTCTTTAAGAAATGGTATGTCTTTATGGGATAGTTGGAATATATAGCCTGCTAAAATACTCCAAAATGGGACCTGGACACAGCGTAAAAATTCAAAGATTAAAAAAAAGCTGGAATGGCTGTGTCTCAAATGTGCCCCTTCAATATCCACATATACCTGGCAAAGGTACATGCAGGGTTATTGCTGTACTCAGGCGATATAGCTGAGCAACATATGAAGTATTATACAGTAGTGGCACACATAAGGTTTGCAAAATATACTGTGCAAACTCACTTTGTGTGTCAAAAAGGCCATACATTGGGCATATGGTTTTACTCAGAGGATGTAACTGAGCATTATTTGAGGGATTTGGGGGATTGTATGACAGTGGTACATATCAAGTGTAAGAAATTATTAGCAAAAATGCAACATGTATGTAAAAAATTAAAAAAAAAATTCCTAGCCAAAAATTGACATAAAGTAAACAAAAAAAGGGGGAACAAGTTAAGGCACAATATACACCATATAAGATACCCTGGGGAGTCTGCTTTCTCAAATGAAAGCCCTTTGTGGGGTGGTTATAACATTTAAACTCATATAATGCCACACAAAGAGACATAGGCCCGTCAAATCAATCGATGAAAATTGTAGCTATAGAATCTGAAATAGCCTTGTCTCTTTTATGGCATTGTAGCTTCACAGAATAGTGCCAAAGGCATACGATGGGGGTATCGTTATACTCAGCAGATATAGTTGAATACAATATGAGGTACAGGAATAACACACACCAGCTTTGTGAAATACACATTACAAAAACCTTGTTATATGTGTATATGCCAAAATAGAGAAAAAACACAATTTTACTCCAATATTTAGCAGAGATTGGCAATGAAATGGCGCAATGAAATGGCTACATAAAAAGTGTCCAAATAACCTTAGGTACATAGCCTGTGATGTCTACTTTATATAAATATATACTTCTGTGTGGCAATTTAGTTTTTTTGTGATGGCTACTAAACCTACAAAACAAACATATCAATTTATAAAATTGTTTCACATTGAAATGTTATTTTAGTCCTTGTATTTTGTGACCTGTAACTTTCAAAATAAGCTGAAATCCAATAAATATTATGTCTATAAATCAAGACACGTAAATGAATTTATTTTGAATTACTTTTCCTAAGCTGGACATATTATTTACACATTAATATAAATTTTTTCCCCGTTTTTGGGTGTTTTTTTTAAAATAATTAATGAGAATGTATATATGTATATTTGACATGAAATTAAAGCCCTTTTTGTCCTCTAAAACACAGTATATAATATGTGTTGGTGCAATTAATAAGAAAGATGCAAATTGCAGTTGAACACAAACAGCATAAAATGCAAAAATTGCTTGTGTCCTTAAGGGTAAGACAAGCTTCTGAAGATTTGTCCTTAAGGGGTTAAGCAACACCTGCACAATCCTCTGTTGTGTGTGGGTCAGAAAACCATAATGCCATCAACCTGTTTACCAATTACTAAAGCTCCCCAGATGCATACAATACTTCAGCACATTACAGAGTACTAGATACTGACACACAACTCATTACTCTAGCCATACCATCTGTTATCAATAACAGATGGCGCTGTCTGAGAATTTAACTGCTGGAAATATCATATCAATTTCAATATGACATCAATCTCACAAAGTCCCTTTTTCTAGGTCACAAAATAATAAACCCTGCAATATATTTTTACATTGGGTATCCTAAGACAAATAGTTTTTTAAGATCAGGTCAGTTTCATACCGTAGTACTTCCTGTAGTGGACCAGAGGGTGCAGGTAAGGTAGACAACAGTAGTCATAGTCACAATTATTTATTGATCCATAATCCAGGCAATTCAATCAACATTACACCTCACCCCAGGTTTTGCACCGTGCTGAAGCCAAGGAACATCTAGAAATCCAGAAGTTCTAGAAATCTGAAAGAAATAAAAAAGATTTTATGTTTCTAAATGCTCACATATTCAAGTACAGTCCAGTAGTAATTAGCAAGCATGAGTTCAAATGTAACTTCCTCTAATCATCAAAGACCAGAACCTGCTCAGAAACATTTTGTCAGTTACTGCTAACAGAAGCGTATAATAAAATTATTTAAAAAATAAAACAAAAATACCAATGTTAACTAAAACTTCATTGGCCTTTGATAAAAAAATTTATAGTAATTTGTGTGCCCTGAGATGAATTATGTCATTGATGGATTCCCTCTGCAGATGTGTTGTCTTCTAGTGCTGTGGATAAATGGGATCTGCGATGAATTATCCTCCTGCAGAGAGAAAACTGTTTGATTCTGTACATATTAAATGGCTGCAGTATTTGCTCTGTATTAAGAAGTCTGTGTCATGACTGCTCCTATATTATATCTACTAGATTTGGTCAGGGATATTTTGATGGGTATTATGTATGGATTCTGTGAAATGCTTTTCTATTACTCATCCTGCTGTGAATCCAGTGAAGGGACCATTTTTTTCAGAATCACTCCACACTGAGATGCATGCATAGCTATCTCTCATGCTGCTCCTACAGTTTCTGCTTGTTTCTAATATAAAATGTTTATACTCTATTTCATTTTGTAGTTAGTGCAGTTGCTTATGAAAAAAGGGCAAACAGTAACATTTCTGCACAGTTTGTGGAAAGAAAAGAAAATGCATTCTTTATCTTGTTATTAAGGCGCATGTGTGTAAATGTTTCTGAACATGAAAATGACTTCTAAATATATTGTAAATATTAGACCTGTGAAACACAAAAAGTTTAATCGATTTGTCCGTTAAAAAGAAATATAGTGATGGGCGTGGCTTGGAAGGAGCCAAGAGCGGTCCCATACTCCCGGAGCTCTGGCAATATCTCGACTAAAACTGCCTAAAACTCAGCAACCTGACCTTGCCATACTCCCTGATATCAGGGCAAACCATGGACAAGCACTCCAAAAAGCTAAAAACGCTGTCTGGGGAGAGTAATCGGAGCATCGGGGAACTCTTCACCACGCGGCCTAAATCCAAGATGGCGGCACCTCCCGACATTTCCTGCTCCTCATCCTCCTCCGAGGACTTAATGGATGCCCTGACCCTATATAGGAGGCAACAGGGCCAGCACCTAAAATGTAGACTGAGGACCGTGGTGCACCGGTGACCAAAGATGACATTATGGACCTCATGGTCAATATCAGGGCCTTTTTCCATGCAGATCTGGTGGTGATCCAGGAAGAGGTGTCAGCGGTCACAGACAGGGCCAAGGTGAGAGAAGAAGACATATCCACCCTCTTACAGTGCCAAGCTGACTCAACTGAGCAGATCCAGCGTTTACAGACCTCACACACGGCCATGCAGGATCGGCTAGTCACAGTGGACAATGCCCGCAGGCATAATCTAAAGGTCAGGGGCATAGCAGAATCCGTTGTGAATGGTGAATTACCACACTTCGCCTATTCTCTGCCATACTGCCCCAGCGGCGCACAAAACATGCTCTCACTAATGGTGTTCATCAACTCCCTAAATCCCCAAGGGCACCAGCTGCAGCTTCCCGAGATGTTCTTCTCCACTTTCTAACATTCCAGTACAAGCTGGCGATACAAGAGGCGCTCAAATTCAACACCCCACTCGAGTTTGAGGGCATGCAACTCACCTTACTACAAGACCTACGTAGGGCCACATTGGAGTGGAGGCACTCTGTTCAAGGAGTCACGAAAGTGCTCATGGAGGAAAAAATCACCTACAGATGGGGAATATCCCACACTTGAATCACCACCAAAGATAGCACTACATCAAAGACCAGAACCTGCTTACAACATCGGAGGCTTCCACCTTATTTGTTATGGAGCTGGGCCTCATACAGCACCAGGCTCCCTCGCCTGCCACACGCACCACCTAGGATGTGCAGAACATTGCCTCCTTCGTACCTCAACATGGGCTAAAAGGCATGTTCCAGGGGGATCCCTTTCCTGGAACTAAGTGCAGTTCCCTGGACTCCACAGTCATCTGCAAGTTTTAATTGTCTCCAAAAATTGATTGAATTACATGCATTAATATATGTGCTGGCATTCTTCTTTTAACTATTTAAGTTTAGTTTATCATGTTTCCTCTCATTTTACTAAATACTGGTGTATTTGTCATATATCTGACTCTTGCTCCCGCTACGACTAAAGAGGAACTGGGTAAATTTGTTAAACACACTCTCACTTCCCGCCCCCCCCTCCTCAGGGTGCCATGGGGATATTGGGCACAATACCTGTAACTACCGTGGTCCCCCACAGTAAAACCTCACACTGACGCACCAATTTCTTTCATGCCCTTAAGGGCGATACACTGCTTCCCATATCTATCCAGGAACGCTTACCAGCCCATATCAGAATGTGATGCCTCCCTGGATACCACTTGTCTTTTAATTCCCCCAACTAAGTTGGGTCAATGACCAGTACCAGGTCGGCCACCACCAGAATGTTATTACAGCCCAAGGAGTCCTCAGCAGCTGTTTTTTGGGTAGTTACATCCTAGTTATTTCTATTTAACGGTTATGAACAGCCTGTTATTACTTATAATATTGATTTTATCTACGATTTATTATCACTGGCTCTGACATGTTATATCCCGACCGCTCTAGTAATGCGCTATTATACAAAAGTCATTGTCAATGATACCACCATTAACTTAAAAATGTGCCATATCAACACGATGCTGTCCAACTTTATAGAAATGCTGTCTTATGTGCCTGTATATACTGTTGGGGCATTACATGCTTCCTTGTCATTATTTTATGCACGTTAAAAAAATAAATTCTAGAGGGAGTGGGGTATAGTGACACACCTCCCTGTTCCTGTACGTCCAATTGTCTGGTTAAAATTACATGACTGTTAGTCCACCCATTGTACAGCACTACGGAATGTGATGGCGCTATATAAATAATAAAATAATAATAATACCCAGATACTACCTCAACACTAAACCCTACCAGGCAAACCAACTTTTACCATTAACATGTTCTTATAGTAGGGCGATTATGTTGCTGCTCAGTTAGCTTGCAGCAGCAGTATGCATAGAGCTAATTTCAAATATATTTCTAGAGATCCATTTAAAAATAGTCAGGACCTATTTGTTTCATTTGGCTCAATGCTGTTTCAGTTCAGTTGATTGTGAATGCATTAAATCTTACGAGAAATGTTATCAGCTGAACTGGATAGAAATTGACCAAGTGGCCAAATAAGATACCCCATAAGGATGTCTTCTTTGCATCGTTTTTCTGAGGTTTTCTATCTCAGACCTGTTAAATCAAGTCTGGGATAATAATAATAATAATAATTATTATTATTATAAATTTCATTGTCTCTAAAGTTCCTAGCTTTCAAGAGAATACTAAACTTACCTATGCACTAATTTGTGATCCCTTTCTTACTAGACCCTATAATCCAGGGATTCCCAAACCAGTCCTCAAGTACCCTCTACCAGTCCAGGATTTAGGGATTATCCTGTTGTGTTAAAAAAAAAAATTTTTTTTTTCTAAAAAACCTTAGACACAACTGGATAATCCCTAAATCCTGGACTTTTGGAGGTACTTGAGGACTGTGTTGGGAACCACTGCGAGTCTAATCCAATATGTGGATCATATCAGATGTTATACTCTTAAAGCCACAATGCTGGCAAAGCATCAGGGGAGATGAAGTCCAAAAGTTGCCTACTCTGCGAAATCAGACACATTCAGGGCCGGTGCAAGGATTTTTGCCGCCCTAGGCAAAAGTAAAGTTTGCCGCCCCCCCCCCCCGTGACATCACAATGCCCCACCCATATGACCTGCCATTTTAACTAACGCTAGTGTGCTGCAGTGCCGCTGTGTTTA